TGATATTTTTATATCACTCTACAATTGATGTATTGGGCACTATTTAACAGTGGTGTTTCTATATCACTCTACAATTGATGTATTGGGCACTATTTTAACAGTGGTATTTCTATATCTGTCTACAATTGATGTATTGGGCACTATTTTAACAGTGGTATTTTCTATATCTCTCTACAATTGATGTATTGGGCACTATTTTAACAGTGGCAATTCTATATCTCTCTACAATTGATGTATTGGGCACTATTTTAACAGTGGTGTTTCTATATCTCTCTACAATTGATGTATTGGGCACTATTTTAACAGTGGTATTTCTATATCACTCTACAATTGATATATTGAACACTATTTTAACAGTGGTATTTCTATATCGCTCTACAATTGATGTGTTGAGCACTATTTTAACAATGGTATTTCTATATCGCTCTACAATTGATGTATTGGGCACTATTTTAACAGTGGTGTTTCTATATCTCTCTACAATTGATGTATTGGGCACTATTTTAACAGTGGTATTTCTATATCACTCTACAATTGATGTATTGGGCACTTTTTTAACAGTGGTATTTCTATATCTGTCTACAATTGATGTATTGGGCACTGTTTTAACAGTGGTATTTCTATATCTCTCTACAATTGATGTATTGGGCACTATTTTAACAGTGGTGTTTCTATATCTCTCTACAATTGATGTTTTGGGCACTATTTTAACAGTGGTATTTCTATATCACTCTACAATTGATGTATTGAGCACTATTTTAACAGTGGTATTTCTATATCACTCTACAATTGATGTATTGAGCACTATTTTAACAGTGGTATTTCTATATCTGTCTACAAATGATGTATTGGGCACAATTTTAACAGTGGTATTTCTATATCTCTCTACAATTGATGTATTGGGCACTATTTTAACAGTGGTATATCTATATCACTCTTCAATTGATGTATTGAGCACTATTTTAACAGTGGTATTTCTATATCACTCTACAATTGATGTATTGAGCACTATTTTAACAGTGGTATTTCTATATCGCTCTACAATTGATGTATTGAGCACTATTTTAACAGTGGTATTTTTATATTGCTCTATAATTTTTGTATGTTTTTACCCCAAAATATTTGTATGAAGGCACCAATTTATCAATACCTTTTTTCACAAATATCTTTGGGAGAACTCTTTCAGAGGCTCAGTTGGAGGCTCTTGCCTATACGCTTCCACAGAGCTGCCACATTTTTAATCTATCCCCATTAAGCCAGTCTGTCCCTAATTTGTACCCAGTCTCGGAAGGCTGGCGCTGCCACTATGACCCATTTCACCTATTCCTCTCTTTTCTTTTCAGGTCTGACCTGTTTCGATGTAACAACACAGCGTCAGATTTCGCAAGGATATCCAGGATCTTCATACACGTCTGTCGGCCATGATGGAACATTGAACGGGCAACTTACAGACGTCCAAAAACATATTCTTGAAAATGGCGGGAGAACCATTGGCGGAGATGGACGTACGGAGAACATTCAACCGCTCAGAGCTGGCGGTGAGGACCCACTTCGTTTACGACTGGTTTTTATGGCGGAAGTGTCAAATTCAGGAAAAGGTAACTCTTCGGCGAATCAGACCACAAAATCAGAGCGTCAGGAAGTTCACTCTCTCGCGTCTCATCCATCGTCAATGAATTTAAGAGTCAGTAATCAGTTTTCGCCACACGGTGATATCGTGCGATTGGATTCTCATGGAATATTAGTTGCTCAGAAGCGAAGGAATCAAGCGCCTGTACCACAGCGTACTAGGTCAAGTGATGCCGGACGAGTGCAAGGATACCAAAGAACGGGTTCCGTAATTCCTTCCCCACCAGCAAAAGCCGAGGCTCGTCGATACAAGGAAGAAGCTCCAAGACCTGTGACACATCAAAATAATGCGAGAATTCCTTTTCGACCGAGAAATATGTTTAAGCCCCTGTCTCCACAATCCCCAGGCTTCACGCCTTTGGAGAGACTCACTGACAACAGGAGAACTGTAAACACAAATCCCGACCCACCGTGGCGTCCCGAAAGACAAAGAGATCCAATTACCCAACCAAGAGACCGTGTTCATGCACCACAGCAACCTGTCGCAGCCAGAAATACTGGTGACCCATACGGTCGATCACAAGGCGAGCCTTATCCTCCACGAAATGACAGATATCAAACTCGTCCAATTAGAAATGAAGGAACTCAAGCCCGACGACTCGGGAAAATCTTATCAGATATGGGTCATACTCGACATGAACCAGCCCCTCTACCATCGAGACATGCTGACAGTCGACCGTACCCCATTCAATATACCATACCCGACTCTGCCACACCGACTGAAATGCGAGTACGAAGAATTCAACAACCTGAAGTAACCCGAGCGCAGCCTAGATACGTTGATCACACAGCAGATCGTGTAAGAGTACGACCAGAACCCACAACGCATTACCAGAACGCTCATCAACCAGTCAGCAGCAACGCTGGGTCAGGTGTAGCAATTCCAGACACGTATTCTGATCGAGTTAGAGCTCCTCCGCAAGCACCCCGTGATTCTGGAAGATTGGTGAACCAACAACCACAAGTACAACGAACTGAGGTGCGAGCACCAAGTGCTAACAGTGCTCAAATCCCGAGACAACCCTATCAACCACAACAAGTGCAACGGCAAGAAGTGCGAACACCAAATGTTAACAGTGCTCAAGTCCTAAGACAACCCTATCAAGAACCACAAGTACGAGCATTAAGTTCCAACAGTGCTCAAAGTCCAAGGCAGCCCTATCAACACCCAACCACTGGGCCAAAGGGCCAATCGACCACAAACGCTACAGGAGAATTGGTCGTATTGTCGATGCAGGAAAACGCAGACGGTACTATTACCTATACCGTAGCCGATCCACGAAAGGCTAAAGCGGATAGAATGAATAATATACCAGTGCAAGTCAAGAAATCTACTGCAGCTAGTAATTCTAATGTGTATGATCAACCGCAACAACAAAGCCAGTCAATGTATGATCAACCGCGACAACAAAGCCAGTCAATGTATGACCAACCTCGACAACAAAGCCAGTCGGTGTATGATCAACCGCGACAACAAAGCCAGTCGGTGTATGACCAACCGCGACAACAAAGCCAGTCAACGTATGACCAACCGCGACAACAACCGCGACATCAAAGCCAGTCGATGTATGATCAACCGCGACAACAGCGCGATTCACACACTCCGCTCACAGGTTCGCAATACGACTCATACCAAAGAGCAATGGTCGCATCGGCAGCTTCCGTTCCACATTCGTACCAAGCTGCTTCTCAGACGCAAGTGCAACAAAATAAAGGATACGATCCACGACGACACGACACTCCTCAAGCTGCACAGACGCATCAATACCACGGAATGAACGTCATTCCTAAGCAGGACGCAGGAACAAGATACAACCCTGGTTCAGCGACTTCCTCTTCAAATACCGAGATGCATATTTCTTCCGTTGTAAGAGAACCAATTACAT